TCGCATATGTCAAGAACTGTCAGGCGTGCATATGACTGAAAATGGTACCCCACAAGGAAGTGTAATTAGTCCAGTTTTATTTAATATTATGATCAATGACATTTTCGAGGACCTGCCTCTAAACATAAATGCAGCACAGTTTGCTGATGACGGATCGTTTTGGAGACGCTTTGGTAATTTTCAGTTTGTCATAGAATCTATACTAAACTGCTTAAGTAAAGTCAGTACATGGTGTTCAAAATGGGGGTTTAAGATTTCAAAATCAAAATCAGTGGCAATGATGATCACAAGACGTAAGATCCCTCATGATATCAGTTTAACTCTTGGACACCATAAACTGGAAATGGTGTCAGTGTTCAAATTTCTTGGTGTGTATTTGGATCGATGATTAACATGGTCTCATCACATCACACATTTGTATAACACATGTAACAAGATCATCAATCTATTAAAGTGTATTTCAAAAACAAAGTGGGGCGCTGATAAGTCAACTATGTTATTGCTGTACAAGGCCCTTATCTTGTCCAGACTTGACTATGGTTGTCAGGTGTATATGTCGGCGGCTAAATGTCATCTTAATAAGCTTGATAGAATTCAGTCTAAAGCTTTGAGAATATGCACTGGTGCATATTGTACAACTCCAACATCAGCTCTTCAAGTTGAGTGTTCAGAAATGCCCCTTCACCTTCGAAGACAACAGGTATCTGTGAAATATTTCTTGAAAATGAAAACCAAGAACAAACACCATGCAGTCACTGAGATTGTTAATGACTGTGTGGAATATGTCATGTGTGACTGGACTCATGGCAAATTACCCTTTGACTTGAATATTCAGAGATTAGCTGATCAACATGGTATTTACAACTGTAACCCAGTTGATCCTTCTGCTCCGCCTGTCACACCTCCGTGGCTTCTACTGAAGCCTGGATTGAATTCTGAACTCAATTTAATCGTGAATAAGAGAATGGACCAAAACATAATAAAAGTGATAACTCAAGACTTTCTGTCTGAAAATTATTCTAATTTCACACATATATACACTGATGCATCAAAAGAACCATCCAATAATCGTACTGCTGGGGCTTTTTGGATACCCAATTTATCGATCGCTAAGGTGTTCAGATTCCTTTCTGATTATCTGAACTTTTGTCCATTTTGCAAGCATTGAGATGGCTAGATGAACATGACCATGAAGCAATTATCTTTACAGATTCTATGGCAGCAATCAAAGCTATAGAAGCTGGTGCAAATGGATCTAGAGATGACATTGTGCATGAGATATTAAAGTTGGATACATCTTTAAACATGAAGTACATTGCATGCGACATTGTGTGGGTCCCAGCACATGTTGGAATACATGGGAATGAGATTGCAGATAATTTGGCCGAATCCGGGTTACAGTTTCCTGAAGTTGATTTATTTAAATTTCAACCAATCCCTAAGATTATGAAAATGTTTTATCGAAATCTGTTACAAGGAGTTGGCAACAGTTGTGGGATACAGGTACTACCGGATCTTCACGGGTCTTAATTCAAAAGAAGTGACTGTAATTATGTCTAAATCTTCAAAGACAATACAACCTTTTAATCGTGAAAGAATAACATGTTACATTGTTTAATCTATTAGTCACATGATCATAAAGGGTCCGGGTATTGAGACGGGTACGGCCGGGTCCAACTCATTACCCACCCGTCCCGGGTATCTGGGTTACCGGTCCCAGCTCTAATTGGCAGCATATTTGTATTTTGTGTTTCTCATCCCCCGACCGACCCTTCTAATTTTATTGCCGACCCCGCTAAAAAAACTTTTTATTCCAACATCGCCGACTCGAGCCTAAATCGTACCGCCTCTTCATATAAAATGTTTATCTTTTTAATCAGTCGCTGCCACTAGTCCAAAGAGAACGCGAGAAATTGTTATAACACTAAATGAGACTCAAGAACATTATTCAGAGAATTTTGTCTTAAGTTTTGTTGACTTTTTGTAAATATTTTCCCCGACAGACCGACCCTTGGTGGCTACGTGAAACTATGGTGGCTCATTCGGGCCATCGCTTTATCATGTAACACATAGAAATAATGATGCCCTATTCAGTGCAGCTTGAAGTCAGCTGGAAGCTTTGACAAGCTGTCCATTGTTCAGGTGTGTCGGGGTCTTGAGAGTGTCGACAGAAAGGGATGTGTACTGGGCAGGGTTAATGTTTCATGCGCGAACGCATCCCGAGTAGTCTTTGTCAACAAACAATACAAATCAATTAGCAATTGCAAAAATACAGACCAAGGGTATTGCATGTCTCCTGGTTATTTTGTTGGGGAAAGAAGTTAAAAAGTGAGATCGGGGACAATATTCCTCCATGAGGCGTGGTAACAAACGCGACAAATCCTTTTCACAGCCACAAGAAATCTGTGCCAGGAGTTGTACACTGTGTGCATGACTCACTGCCAAGTAGAGATGATATCAGGTGTTTGCGGATAGATGCGTGTATCCTGCCTAACTGTGGTATACGTCATAAACACACGCAAAGTCTAGTCAATACATCTCCTGAAAAAATATCGGGAACATAGTGAATTGGGTTCCAATCATAAAATGTCTAACATAAATCTATCTGAAAGTTTTTCTACGGCTGCGAATATTGTAACCTTGATCAAACTACGTCAAAGAGTCACATGACAATGTTGATAAAGGCGGCATGGTGGATTGTACCTTAAACGTTAAACAATCTGGAGCTGTTGGAGTATTGCTCGACACGAAAGCTGCCTGTGGAAAGTTTTGAGGTACAGCCTTGTGGAGAGTTATTTGTGGAGAGTCTGATTCTTTATACATTAGTACACATATGAAATGGGTCTCGCGTGTCTCCTTTATTAACAGCGTGTTATATTCAAGCTAATTTCGTCCCCCCTTGTGTACGGTTGAACCCTGTTGCTGTGTTAATACATTTCTGTAAATAATAATCAAATATATCACAATACTTGAATACTATAGCTGAATATAGGAATCCATAACAAATGCGACATGTTTAGATAGAATGTTCTTTAAAGGCCTTGTTCTTGGCCGAATGCGTTGAGTCATTTTTCGTGTTGAAAATGTATAAAATAAATTCACTCCCACAAACTTCTTTTACTTGCTCATGTTGGAACTTCCTTGTGTGTCCAATATCAAGATGAATAAATGTTATATTTTGATTGTATATAGAGCTGTTTTTAGAACATGTGCAAACCACACTTCGTCTCATAAACGACAGGGCGGTAGCCTAGTGGTTAAAGCGTTCGCTCGTCACACTGAAGGCCCGGGTTCGATTCCCCACATGGGTACAATGTGTGGAGCCTATGTCCCCCGCCTTGATATTGCTGGAATATTGCTAAAAGCGGCGTAAAACCCAATTCACTCATAAACAACAGATAAATGAGATTCCGGCAGTTGAAGGAACATCCCCGTATTGTCACCCTGAACAACGTAGGGAACTGAGATATTTAGGGTGGAATTGCAACAACACGATAACATTATGTGGTGGTGTGGTCATAGGATCGGTAATGAATTGGACAGTGTATTGTGACATCACAACTAATGAAACGAATGAAATCCTGGGGCCCGTTTCACAAAGCCCTCTTACCGGTACGACCTCGTAAAGCAGGTCGTAGACCACCTCTTACTTTCTTACCCTGTTTCACAAAGACCTCGTATATTTACACTGTGCCGTAAACAGCCCAAAATTTAGGACCCCGATTGACCTGTCGTAAATGCTTTAGGAGGTCGTAAACACTACAAAGATGGCGTCAACGATTATGGCACTGCAAGTGATTAAAACGCGCCAACAAAGAAGACCTCAGAAATTTTGAGACAGGCCGAACGTGCTCGACACTCATGTTGTTTTTATAACTGTGCAGAAAGTTCACATGCTATTCCGACCTCCCTGCAAGTGTTGTGTACACAGACGTATTTGGCAAAAGGGGTTTTCCTCAGTGAAATCGGGGATCTCCATGGAGTATCCCGAGCTAGTGTGTCAAGAATACTCCGCGACACCGCTAGTGCTCTGGCCGTGTATCTGGACTTGATTAAAAAACCCTGGGTGCCACAGGGACATATGTCCTTCCTCTTCAACCCTCACTATGAAGTCCAATAAAATTCTATAATATGTCACGCACACAAATATACTTCACAGTTTTGTATTCTGCGGGAAATTCCCTGTTTCTTGATACCATCCACTAAAATCTCAGACAAAGCTAAAGTGCTTAAATAACCTTTCAAAATAGGCTTCATCGTAAATGTCGCCATTTTATACACAATACAAAATCACGATTCACAGCATTATTTGCTGTACAGTGTAGACAGTATGTTTTCAAATGTGAAAATCGGATAATTACTGGGAGTACTGAATTTCAAAAAATTTGTGAAACGGTCGTGAAGGAGGTCGGAAGAGGGTCGTAAACAAGGTCGTATGGGCTACGACCTCCTAAATGTAGGAGGCTTTTGTGAAAACATATAACAATACACAGATAGTCAGAGTCACTCTGATTACTTACATTTCATATTTATGTACAAACGATCCCTGAATCAAGGGAAGAGTCCTCGCAAAATCCTGTGTACCCTTGTCAGCGACCGCCCGCGTTTCACAAAAACCTCCCAAATTTAGGAGGTCGTAGCCCATACGACCTTGTTTACACCCTCTCGGCAAGCCTCGGATATTTGTAACTTTATCAACTCGTGTTGATATAGTTGATATCTGTAGACACTTGGGTGAGATTCTCTATTTATAACCATGAGGCGGAAATGGTTACCATTATTTTATTCATTTTACCAATCTATAGTCATCGTAGAAAAATATCATCTTCTAGCCATTGCACTAGTATACAGGTTACTCTGAAAGCCTAAGCATCTATGCAACATAGATTCAATCATTCAATCATCTTCACTCACTCACGCACAGACATAAATTATCACACGTGACCACCCTTCAATCTGTCCATCTTCCATCGTGGCATGTATCAGTGGACCTCCACCAATTTTCTAAATTTTCAACAATCCGTTTCGGCTTCTTATCATCACTGACCAGTGAACACAACCGACACCAAAATTTGGTGTTTAGGAAACCGCCGGTCCCTTTCCAGTTGAAATATTCATTATAAAGTTCGTCATTTTTATCCAGCATTTTCATATATTCAGCTAATTCTTTCGCTGACTTGAAGTTCTCCACGTGGATATAGGAATGCGGTGGTGCAACTTCCTCGTAGTCTTCCGGGTGCGCGCCCATCACAATCGGAACGACGTCCTGACTGAAAATATAGAAAAGAAGATTGTTTAATTATTTTTGACATGGTATTTGAAAACTTTTGAAATGATCATGAGCAAGATAGAACTATTCTGTTCTGTAAGACTTCAAAGCATTGCATAGGAGTATAGGAGTGCGTGATTTCATTCTTACACCTCTTTGAACTGTGAGTGAGTGAGTCATTACGTAACTTTTCGCAATATTCCAGGAAGAAGACGGCGGGGAAATTTCTAGGGAGACCATAAATGGGCTTCACATATGGGGAATTGGACTGGGTTTTTTTGTATGACGAGCGCCCACTCTAACCACTAGGCTTATTGTCCTTCTGGTTGCTGAATAAACCCCTTAGGATGCAGTTGTCGAAAGCTTTATACTTTGGGAAAAAACATGGTAACATATATTTTTTAAACATTAACAAAACGTTACGTTTCATCAAATTTTAAGGATTTTAAATTTTATTGAAAAGAAAATACTTTTTCTTGTAGTTATTGATCATCCTCTTCAAAATTGTCGTAAACGTAGGGAATAAAGTGTTGTTCGTGTAATTAGGTCTTGCGTGTAACTCAGCGACACACTGACATATGCACTAGGTCGTCAACTTTAACCCAGTGTCACAGGAACCCATGTGCCCGGTTTACACCTTTTTTTCTACCAAAGTCAACATTGAATCGTTACGAAACATTTCTACAGTAAAGTACAAAATGTCAAACCCTTTTGCCATGTAAATGTCGTGGACACCGAGCAAAAGGTCAAATAGTTGTGAATGCAAGTGGCAAAGATTAAAACCAAACTACAAAAAAATTATTGAGGTGATCACTGTTTGAAACTTTATATGCTGGATATTTAACCTAGATATGAGTGACTTGCATGCATTTCTACCCATCAAGGCACTAACGGGCTGACCGCCTCCGTGGTGTAGTGGTTAGAGCGTCCGCCCGGAGAGCGACCTTCCGCGGGTTCGATCCCCGGTCGCGTCAAACCAAAAAGACGTTAAAATATGGTACTTGTTGGTCTCTGTCTGGCGCTCGGCATTAATGGGTACAACATGGACTGGTTGGCTCGGAGTCAGTATAATGTGTCTGAATATGGTATTCATGCTTCACTGCGGCATGGTATCTCAGTAGGCTAGCACTATAAAACCAGCTTAAGTCTGGGGTAGTACAAGCAGCCGCACATACACATACACACGCATGCACGTCGTCATATGAGCGAAATATTCTCAAGTGCGACGTTAAAACCCAATTCACCTCACCTCACCTCACTAACGGGCTGATGTATGTACATAGAGAGAACCTGTTGTGTAAGTACATGTATCTGTATGTAGAAATTATGTTTTCGTTCATTTACTAACGATTCTCCTCGATTTTTAACAAGTAGCAAAATAAAAAATATCCGTAATCATTGGTAAAGGGTCATTGCAAAAGAATACCCAGTCCTCAGAAACAAGTTCCTTTTGGTGTAACAGGATGAATAGCTGTGAAATTACATGAATGGATAACTGAAAGTCAGTGATGACACCAGGTGTTCGAGTATAGGTTAAGTATCACCAGCCCTACCGGTAGCACCTCCATTCACAAAACGTGCTGGTATTTATTTGTTCTTCTTATTATTATTTTTTATTATTTTTTTTTTTTAGCCTGAAGCACAGCAGTATTTCTGCAACCGCGGCCTGTCAACAAACCAGACAATCAAGTGATCGATGAAATCTCTGCTATAAGCAGAATTTCTGGAAGTTTTGAACTCTATCAATATCAAGCGTCCATGAATTCAGGTGAAGACAATTTAAATATTAACCTGAACAAGCAGGGGAACTTTTGAGAATTGCATCGGCATTTTGTCTGAACCCTGTTTATGCAAATCTTGCAGTGTCCTCTACTTGTCTGCCATAAAACCTTTAAAAGCTTTGCTTAGACCGTGAATGATAGAATCTAGATGCAACTATTAACGCCCTTTAAAATCCTCGGATAAATGGCATGCTCGGATTTACTATGAAACAGGGGTGGTGGGGTAGGCTAGTAGGTAAAAGCGTTCGCTCGTCACGCCGAAGACCCGGGTTCGATTCCCCACATGGGTACAATGTGTGAAGCCCATTTCTGGTGTGATATTGCTGGATAGTTGCTAAAAGCGGCGTAAAACTAAACTCACTCACTCTTATCTGATCTTACCCTTGGAGTGAAACGTTCCCAATATTTAAATACGTGTTATAAGCCCAGAATTTCACGTTGTCGGAGTAAACTTTAGATGACATTTGTTGCTATTTTTGGCATAGCTTGTCCTCCACGTATCTGCCATACAGTATTTAATTTTAAAAAGCTTTACTTTAACCTTGAATGATGTCACCTTGATGCAAATTTAGTGCAAGAGTCATATGACGACCTTTAAAAATTTTCGGATCAAGGGCATGCTCGGTTTTACAAATATTCCTGACCTTTTAAAGATGCGGTTGTAACTTATGATCCCCTCGCCTTGTGACAAATGCCCCAAGGACCAAGAAATGACGCTGTCGTTTCAGTTTGTCGTGTCGTAAAGTAAAAACACTGAACATGCTACCTTTGTAAGAGGTCGGGCGTTACGTGGTCGCACGTTTACGTGTCTTTAATGAACGCGTAACCTTGTGATCTCCTATTCCGTTTGTGAGTGAGTGAGTTTAGATTTACGCCGCTTTTAGCAATATTCCAGCAATATCACGGCGGGTGACACCAGAAATGGGCTTCACACATTGTACCCATGTGGGAATCGAACCCGGGTCTTCGGCGTGACGAGCGAATGTTTTCACCCCTCGGTTACCCCACCGCCCCTATTCTGTTTGTAGTGGGTTAGTGATACGCAAGCGTGATAGTGACTACTGAGTGGGAGAGGATTGTTTTACGCCACGTTTCACGTGCCTTCAAGTGTACGAGTAACCTAGCGATATATACTATTCTGTTTGTGAGTGAGTGAGTGAGTTTAGTTTAACGCCGCTTTTAACAATATTCAAGCATATCACTGCGCCGGACATTAGAAATGGGCTTCACACACTGTCCCCGTGTGGGGAATCGAACCTGGGTCTTCGGCGTGACGAGCGAACACTTTAACCACTAGGCTACCCCGTTTGTAGATTAACATCCTTTAAGCCTGTCAGGAACCCGTGACTACGGATTATAAGAACAGATTCTATCTTTGGCAGCATTTCATCCATTGATTTCCTCTTTCCTCTTACATATGATGGGGTATGGTTGCCGTGTTCCACACAGACCACGAATCCCACGAATCGCCACGAATTGACAAATTTGCGGATTCGTAGATGAATCGTAATCAGTTCGTTAAGTTCGTAACTAATTCGTATATAGTCGTAGTCAGTTCTTGCAATTCTTGAGCACCAAGGTGGTTCGATTCCAGTCGAATAATACGAATATTCGTAATTCTATCGTACCTGGGCCCTTATTCTCGAAACGTTCGTAACCCTAAGAATTCTTAACTTTGATCGTAGCCAATGTGTTAAGAATGGACTTAAGAAGTTCGTAGCGCTACGAACATTTCGAGAATAGCCAGCCTGTATCGTAACGGAATCGTAGAGCGTCATGAATTGAACCAGCAACAATGCACATTTCTACGAATCCTCAAATCCATCAGTTCGTGGCGATTCGTGGTTTGTGTGGAAGATGGGCATAATTAAAGCGTTCGTTCGTCACGCCGAAGATCCGGGTTCGATTCTCCACATGGGCACAGTGTGTGAAGCCCATTTCTGGTTGTCCCCACGCAGTGATATTGCTGGAATATTACAGAACGCGGTGTAAAACAATACTCACTCACTACTCACTATCAATCCTGCGCATCACTCAAACCGAATAGGGGCTGTGGGATAACACTGTGTGAAGCCCATTTCTGGGGCCCCGCAGTGATATTGCTGGAATATTGCTAAAAGCGGCGTAAAACTACAATCACTCACACCTCTGCCGTATCACACTTCAGCCATATTAATAGCGTTCGATGTAGCGTTCACTCGAAGTCGCGTTCACGGTCACACAAGATTAACACGTGACTGTTCCATTTCGATCAGTACATACACTCGTGGAATTCATACTGCAGCTGGATTGCCTGGTGTGGTCGATTCACGCGTGACGTTCACTAACACAGCGCATTTTATGCAACCCTAAGTTGTATACCTAATATTCATTACCTACGAGCGAAACTTTTCTCTAAATCGACCGTAACGGAGCATGAAATACGTTTTATTTGTTTGTTGTGTATAATGTTACCTCAGCAATATTGCAGCTAAATGACGACAGTCTGTAAACAATCGAGTCTTGGCCCGACAATCCAGTGATCAACAGCATGAGCATCGATCTACGCAATTGGGATACTATGGCGTGTGTTAACCAAGTCAGCGAGCCTGACCACCCGATCCCGTCAGTCGCCTCTTACAACAAGCATGGGTTAGTGAAGAAACATCTAAGCCGGGTCTTCACGGTTACATGAAATACGTAAAACTATGCGGTAACCAGTGAAATCGAGAATGAACAGGGGATGAACCGAACGGATCCCAACACAGTTGAACACGTGAAATTGCAAGATTTGTAGGGAATTCAAATTGTGGCACAGAGGTCTTTGATTGCATGAACGTGATCGCCAATGCCCTGAATTCATCGCACCAAAGCTCTTTACGTATACAGACGTGTTTTTTCTTTCAAAGTATGTTTGCCATGGGGGATGGTTCATGTATATTCACCGGACTTTTCAGAACGGGCAGCACTTATAGTCTTCAACAACCAGAGCATTGAGTCAGATCATATTAAATATATAATGGGTGCACTGCAAGAAGGGGTACTGTCATTTTGGTTCTTACCGTTTATAGAGAGGTTTATAATTTTTAAACTCTCAACATTTGTTTCAAAACCTTTTTAAATGATAATTTACAGGCAGTCTCTGTCGTACACGAGTGACTGAGCATTGTTGTTTTACGCCGCTTTTAGCATCGCCCATTTACCGAAACAACGACATTGAAACGTTGTCACGGCCAACAGA